TCAATAAATCCACTAATCTATTGGTGCATCACTACAATCATGATCAGCTCATCAAGGATCATAATCTATTGCAATCACTACAATCATGATCAGCTCATCAAGGATCATAATCTATTGCAATCACTACAATCATGATCAGCTCATCAAGGATCATAATCTATTGTCATCACTACAATCATGATCAGCTCATCGATGACCATAATCTATTGTCATCACTACTATCATGATCAGCTCATCAATAATCATAATCTATTGTCATCACTACAATCATGATCAGCTCATCAATGATCATAATCATTATCGATGTTAATATTATTATCAGCATCGTTCTCTATAGTTGCTCCAGTATTCACCATTATCAGAACAAACATGTTATTTATTTCTGTTCTCTTTAGGTAAGATTGATCTTACATAATCTTACATCACCTTATAAAGTGTATCTGACTTTAGCGTCACATGGACTCGAATTTCGTATTTTCAAGGTCTGGACAATCGACAAAGGGGGCAGTGTTGTTATCCGGACAGATGTCACTCCACTTGAACCTGCCGGGAAAAAATGGAAACTGCTTATGTCAGCTCCCGGTTTATCAGATGCTCCTGTTGGCATTCGAAGTGATGGTAAGTAATTTAGTAGAAACAAGTTATTGTATTTATGTTAGGGGGGCCTTGCTGTGTAGTCTGCTTTGGATATTGTATGATCGTCGACTGCCTAATAACAAGTGCTCAACATTTTGTGCCCCCCGCCCCCCCCACTCTGGAGAAATATAATTGCGGTTACTGCACTTATCCAAATGTATGTTAATATCCTAGTTGAATAAAATAGATTTACCTCTCAATGAGTCTTCGAAAGTCATTTTATTTATACTTCTTTGCTGCCAGCTCAAATTTCTTCAATATTTCAAACTTTCTTACCATGAAACATCAAACTTTTTGCCGGCTATTCTGTAAAATATTCATTAAAGTTGGATACATTTTTTATAATATGCTTACACCTCAAACGGTCCCCTAATAATTGCAATCATTTGTGTTGGTCCGTGAATGCATGCTTCAGTTTTCTGTGATCTCCTTAAAGAGATATGTGTTAGCCTGTTGAAGTAGTCTCATTTAATTTGTGTCTCATCTTTTGTGATATGTTTGATCCACATTCAGGCTGTTTCTATTTGCTTTCTAGGTCTTAGCCATTGGATCTGGATCAGCAGCGGTGGCTGCAATGTTGATGCAACATTTTTCAAAAAGATAGAGGGAAACTTGCATTCCGCAAGGAGCAGCTGCGCCAGTCTAGGCTCGGTGAAAACGCGAATATCGAAAGAGCCATGGAGGCTGAAAGTACTGGATCTTCTCAAGCGAAGAAACGAGGACGTTATGTCCAGATACCGTACATTCGATGGCACGAGGAGCGATGAAGTGAGTATTTGTCTCTTGATAGTAGTTTATTTATAGACTTTTTTATAGAGATTGAGCCATGAAGATTACTGTAATATTGCTTGATGCTCTGCGCTCTTTGGTGTTTAGAACAAGACGTTCCAGGTTTCTAGCGATTCTATTTAGCGGTTCTAAATAGCAAATCATAACCGTCCTGTTCTGTACTAACAGCATAAACAACCGTCCTGTCATCGAATTCACAGGCGTACAAGGTAGGGGCTGTTGGGGGCAGAGCTCAGAAAAACCTCAACCTTCCATCGAGATTTTGAATAGATGCGCCTTAGAATTGGAATAAAAGTAAAATCATCTATAGCTTGGTCTTTAAGGTTTGTCAAGAATTAAGAAAAGCTCAAACACAGCAGTAATTCCTCTCACCTCATATACTTTTGAGACCGTAATGTTTTCTGGACTCTGCTTGGGGTTGTTGCACTCCTTTTGATTTTTATAATTGAGTACGCACAAACGTTTGTTTGTCAGACAACTCGAATGTTGGCCGTTCGAGTTGGTAAAATATGGGTTGAAATAGGGTCATCGATGTTATCGATAATTTCTCCTTTTAATGATACCCCAGCCGCAAGTTAGGGGAAAGGCCTACAATTGATTGGATTTTATGCATTGGAGTTTTTTGACAGAAAATATGAAACAAAAAACGATTAGGCTGCGAGTGAATGCAACCTGCCTGAAAGGTAATGACAACGTTTGTTGCAAGTGCAAAAGGATACTTAAGTTTGGATATTCGTTTGGGGTTTCTTTATAATTTGTATTTATTGCTACTGAACATTCATTCCATTGCTTGGATTTTGTATTTGTGGGGTATTCGATGTTCAATAGATGTCCGTACCTTCTAGAATGGTTCAATCTCCGTTTTCTAGAACCAGGCAGAGAAGAAATAACGGTAAACTATGCTTTGCCCGAAAAAGAATTGCCCTTATATATGGCAGTAAAACCACCCCTAGAGAGGTTTTTCAAGCTAGGGGTGGCGGAACATGGGTGGGCACCAAAGATACATACCCCGAAAATATGCCCCCTTTTTTAGAAATGCTCCCTTTGTTCCATTTTATCTGTGTCGTAGTGCCCCATCGTGCCTATCCCCTCCAACCTTAAAATACTCCTAACGGTCCAGGTTATATGTATAAGCACCATTTTATATTTGCAGAGCAAATTGTGCGTTGCTTATTTAAGACATGTTGACTTTAGGATATGTAGAAAAAATTATTTGTAATCTATGTTGTTGAATTTCTCCAGCATGGGCGCTTCAACAGCATTCATATCAAAGTCGTGTTGAATATGGCTCTGCTTTAATGCTGATTGTTTTTTTCCAGAGCTATTCCCAGTGGAGCAAAACTGCAAGCTGCTTCCTGCTTACTGACAGAGTTTTGAACATGTGGTGCGAATGCCACATCAAAATTTTTACAGATGAAGAAAGCAATGTATCAGTTCTTATTTACTATTCAAACGGGGAGCACTTCAAAGAAACCCGAATCCCACTGAACGAAGTATCTGCTGTTAATCTAACAAAGATCCCTTCTCATCCAAACACTTTCGTTATCAACACGTTAGAGCGAACATATCGTCGAACGCCTTTGATCATATCAATGGAAAGTGAAAAGGAAGTTAATGAATGGATTGTGTTGATAACAGTCGAAGCGGCGAAAGTTCGCCTGATCCAGACTTCAAGAAAACCAACTAAACATTCGGTTTGGGCCACCAGTGTCTGTGGTGATGTCTTCTACTGCCCGCAAACGACCCTAGAGGGTGTTGCGTTGGATAGAATGTTCTGGCTGCAGGTTGGTGGCCACATGAAGTCGGTGACTGCAGGGGTTGATGGAATCGTTTGGGCAATAGGATACGATGGAAAGGCGTATGCGTATTCTGGGGGCGAGGGAGGAGGTATTCTGCAAGGATCAGATTTCTCTGATGAGAACATGTACGAACAGGAAGACACGGAAGATGTTTTTATTTATGAGAATCAGCGATGGAATCCGATTCAAGGATTTTCAGATACGTAAGGCTTCAGAACACACGCTTTTGTAATTACCTGTCTATTCTATTTCAATGTCTTAGATAGAACTGAACAGACACATTTCTAGTCATACATTCCCCTGTGTGGCTTAGATAAATCTGCCTTTTGGGCTGTGATTTATCATAACTGACAAACCGATTCTTTGCTTGTCCCTTTATTCAAGCTTGTTTTCTTGCCTTATCTGTATAAAAACTTACTTGATATAAGCCAAGTATTTGATTATTTTTCAGAATCGGATATGGTAATACATAACTCAATCAAATTGGCGTCTTTGTTTTACAGAATGACACATATCGTGATGTACTCGCTTGTTTCTTAGGCTTTTACCAAGCGATCGTTGGGCCTGGAGTGATGAAAGTGGCATGTATCATTGTCCTAAAGATGGGTACCGATTGCCATCGTCGCAATGGAAATGGGAAGGTGGTTGGAGCTTTGTTTATGCTAAAGGAGAAACTGACGAACAAGGATGGCAGTATGCAATGGATTTCCCAAGGTGAGATCAATTACTGATACTAGATAATGAAATAAACGTTTCTTCGCCTGTTCAATCAAATATTTTTTAAATGCATAGCGAATTTCATAATTGAAAACTAATTTTTGTTGCTTATCTCTAAAAGACCAACCTTTCATTTTATTATTGAAATATTACCCAGTGACCAGAGGTTGAAATGCCTAACATATATACCGATAAATGACGCCGGTAGAAATTAGAATGGTGTCTAAGGTCATCATTGTTTTTCAAAAATTAAGAGCCTGAAAGAAAGAGAAAGGAAAAGGAGAAGAGAAACTATTTCTTGTTTTTAAGAATGTTATGAGTTTTGGTAAAGGTGAAGGTGGACCGGGTCTTTTATCTAAAAACATTACCTTTCAAAATTGTCGTTTTTCATGGTCCTTTTCTTCTCATATTCAGGAGATACCATTCCTATAAAGGGGTCAAAGACTACGTGAGAAGACGGAAATGGCAAAGGTAAGATCTAAACCTTCTGTACACTTACAAGAATCGATGTATTGCATTAATTTTGTCTGGAATGTTTGGGACTCGCTCAGTTTCAATGTTGTATCTGACCAGTGGGCTAGCCCTTTGCTTCTTTCATAGCAAGAAACAAATGCCCAATTAGGAACAGTGTATTTTTTTGAAGTGGCGAATTATTCGCCTCACCTCATTGGCTACCCGGGTTTAGGAACATATATAGCAAGACTGTATTGCAGCCTTCAGATACCTTCTTTATTTCCTAATCTAGCATTCATGTGATCTCCCTTATGCTAGGTTGTTCAAGCCGAGTAGAGGGAGTGAACATTGTAATGACAAGGAACGATACATTGTTTTGAAACAAATTCAACACCACGATTGGTTGTTCTTTGAAGTTTCCTCCACGCCCATTTAGCACACTATGATGTTAGTAAGTTCTCCATTACTTTTGTGAACATTCTTTGCTCTCATCTACAAAAAAACTCTGTCTTTTTTATGCATCAGGAAGTGCAAGCTAAAAACCACTGGGCCATGGATACTGGTTGAATCAGATATTCGTTTAGTGGATGTTGCTATTCAGACTGATCCTGGCGATACAGTGGCATACTGCGTTGGTGTTTGGGCCGTCAGTACCAACGGAGATGTGTATTATAGAGACTCTGTCTTTGCAACTCAGCCAACGGTAAAAATTCATCTATCCCAAACGAGTAGATTCTCTTCGCTCTTTAACCAGATCTTTGTATTTTTAACACTTTGTATTTTGTATTGTCTTTTCTTTGTATTGTATTGTATTGTATTGTATTGTATTGTATTGTATTGTATTGTGTTGTATTGTATTGTATTGTATTGTATTGTATTTGTAGTTTTGTTTGTAGTTTTGTTTACTACCTACAATCCTTGCCAAAAAAAACTAGAACGCCTTCCCATTGCAGCATGCAAATATACAAAGGAAGTCTAAAACTACCCTACCCAAATATCACTGCCGCTTCAAAAATTTCGACCCCCTCCCCCCGTACAATGTTGATTTATTTTCTCAATACTTTCATACAGCTTTCAGTGAAGAAATTTTTACCTTCAGGATCAAAATAGCCCAATTGAACAACATTGTAATGGGGGGGTAGGGGGGATTTTTCAAAAAAAGCTTCAGCTTTGCGCATGTGTTCGAACAATTTTGGCAAGGATTGTAGCATCCGAAGGTAGTTTTCAGGACACTGAGAAGCTTATGCTTATTGAGCAGTGTCCTGGTCCTACCTATCGATGTGACCACACCTCGTGATTCCTACGCCTGGAATTAAAGAGGGATTGCAACTCTCCTAACTCTGGATGAAAGTTTGGTCATGCCAGGGACTCGAGACAGAGACCCTTGGATCTGTAGTCAGTCTCTCTAGCCACTGAGCTATCCTCACACTAAAATATTGTGTGTTTTAATATTGTATCATTAAGGGTATATTCAGATCACTTACTCAAGACGTTGTCATGTAGTATTTGAGACGTTACATCTCATTTTATTTGCATGCTTTAAAACAGCCACAACTCCAATGGCTTGTTTGCTTTCTATCCTGCTTAATGTGCCTGTTTCTCAAAAATGATAATAAAAAAATCTGTTTACCGATGTTTTAAATTTTCTACCAAGCTAAGCGTATCCGGCACCCATTGATTAAGAGAGTGACGATGATTATTCTCTTTACTAAAATATATTTTCTCAAAAACTTGTTGAGGTTATTTGTATTCTTTTTACATACAAAATACACAGTTAGACCATAGAACATCTTGTTATTAATCTTTTTACTAATCTATCCTGTTTGTATATTATTATACATATTTCATACTGTACTTCAAATGCTTTAAAGTTCCACTGCTATATGCGAAGATAATTTTGACATTTGCTTCAGGGCCACTCCTGGAGGCGAATCCCGACCAACGTAAAATTCGTCAGTATATCTGTTGGATCAAACAAGAAAGTGTGGGGAATAGCTGAAGATGGAGTTACCTATCTGAGAGGCGGGTTTGGAAAGGATGCTCAAGTAGGTATGTGCTATATAGAACGCAATATTTTCTTTTTGGGAGTAAAATAGTCCTATATTGGGTTTAAAGGTGGGTCTTTTCCTGTTAAATAGCTATTCATTAATGTTTTTATATATTCACCCACTGTATAAGTAGAAGCTCTTTTTCGACTAACAGCCCAGACTTTCTAATGAATGTATACAGTGAGCTCCCGTTAACTTAAACCCCCGATAACTCAAACATTCGCTAAGTCGAACTGATATTGCATTTCACTGGCCCAATAAAATGTTATACAAAAGCCCCCGATAACTCGAAAATTCGCTATTTCGAACCATTTCATTGGTTCCTTGTAGGTTCTAGTTATCGGAGTCGAGAAGAGAAGTTTACTGTAGATGAAAAATCATTGAAACAACTTGATCATTTTTTTAGCTTTGACCTAGATATGGTTTAATTAGATATTGTTAATATGCATTATACACAAATCAATAGATTAGTAAAAACTGATATCAAGTTTGGTTCTTTTAAATGTGTTAAACGATATTGAATTTAAAGCTCAGCACCTAATGCTTTTTAATCAAAGTTTAGATGACTATAAAAAGTTTTCAATATACATGACTGAAAAAAGTGAGATTTTAGCAACTAATTATTTAATACAATAAAGACATAGCACTGTTGATAGGCAAAGACATTACGGTAATGCTTTTAAATAAGACTTTGAAAACTATTACCCACTCCATTATAATAACCAATTATTTCTCCATAAACTGTTTTATTTCACAATTTGTCTCCAACATAATCCAAAATATTCCCCAAACATTCAAATGGCTTAAAAAGGGGGTTCAAGCCACCCTTAGTAGGTCATATACCTATTCATATCAAATAGATATTTAATAAAATGGATGTATAATTGTTGATAGTGTTTAGGATTAGTTTGAGGGGTGTAGAGTGTTGTGGAAAATTTGGTCTGTAAGTGGTCAATGGCGGCTGTTGGGTCTGGCGGTAAACTAAAAGATACGAAATCGATATA